GCAGCAGCAGCAGCAGCAGCAGCGAGAATTGCAGCAGCAGCAGCAGCAGTAGCAGCAGCAGCAGTAGAAACAATAGCAGCAGAAATAACTAAAGCACAGCAAAACAAAACAAAATTAAAAAAAGAAGATAAAAAAACAAAACAAAACAAACAAAATAAATAAAGCAAAATAAAACAAACAAAACAAAATAAACAAAACAAAATAAAAAGAAAAGAAATAAAACAAATAAAATAAAATAAAATAAAATAAAATAAAATAAAATAAAATAAAATAAAAAATTACGGTTTAAGGGCATCGATTTGTCTGTAGAATTTGTCGTTGTCTTCCGGCCGTTGGTGGTATATCTGCGTATACACCCCAACACACAAATATTTATTTATTTATTTATTTTATTTGTTTTATTTATTTTATATATTTATTTGTTTTATTTATTTGTTTATTTATTTTATTTAGTAATTTGTTTATTTTATTTATTTATTTTATTTTTTTTACTTTTCTATATTGATATGTAAAAGAGAAATAAAAACAACACATACACCAGCAGCAGCACCACCACCACCATCACCAGCAACAGCAGCAGCATCAGCAGCAACAGCAGCAGCAACAGCAGCAGCAACAGCAGCAGCAGCAGCAACTGCAGCAGCAGCAGCAACTGCAGCAGCAGCAAAGCTGCATCGATAGATTCCAAATTTGTAGATCTCCGCAACTAGCAGCAGCAGCAGCACCCCATCACCAGCAGCAGCAGCAGCAGCACCACCACCACCGCAATCATCATCACCAGCAGCAACAGCAGCAGCAGCAGCAGCAGCAGCAGCAGCAGCAGCAGCAGCAGCAGCAGCAAATACCTGCTGCGATAGATTCCAAATTTGTAGATCTCCATTTACATTTCCTGTTGCAATTCTGCGGCCATCAGGCGACCAACAAATCTTTGTTATTGCTGCTGGGTATCCATCAACAGAAGCACAACGCGGGCTTGTGTACACAGGATGCTGCGTATAAATAAATAAATAAATATAAATAAGTATATATATTTAGTTCTATAGAGAAGAAAGGAAAAAGAAAGAAAAAAAAACAAAAAAAAACGAAAAAAAAAAGAAGAAAAAAGGAGACATATTTGTTATTGCTGCTGGGTATCCATCAACAGAAGCACAGCGGGGGCTTGTATATACAGGATGCTGCGTATAAATAAATATAAATAAATATAAATAAATATAAATAAATATATGTATTTAGTTTTGTAGAGAAGAAACGAAAAAAAAAGAAAAAAAAAAGAAAAAAAAACGAAAAAAAAATAAAAAAAATAGCAACAAGGAGAGAGACAAATTTTTGTTGTTGCTGCTCGGTATCCATCCAGGTGTATATACTGGGTGCTGCATATTAAATAAATAAATAAATAAATATATAAATAAATAAATAAATGAATTAATATAGTTTTATTGAGAAGAAAGAAAAAAAGAAAAAAAGAAAAAAGGAAAAAAAGATAAAGCCCCAGGCTCAAAATTAAATAAACAAAACAAAATAAACAAAAAAAAACAAAAAAAAATAAATAAAAATGTAAACTAAAACAAACAAATAAAAAAATAACAAAACAGAAATAAAATAAGATAAAATAAAATAAAATAAAAAAACAAAACCAAAGCAACACAAAACAAAAAAAACTAAAACAAACAAACAAAAAGAAAAAAAGAGAAATAAAACAGCCAAACAAAAAAAACAAAACAAAATAAAACAAAACAAGAACTACAACAAATAAAAAAAAAAAAAAAAAAAAAAAAAAAAAAAAAAAAAAAAAAAAAAAAA